TGAGTAATCACATGGATATACATACGTGATCTCTGTACACGCAGCTATCTGCTAGCGTGCTCATCGTGCTCTATGGAGTGGTTCGCTGGTTGGAGTTAGAAATTCATCGAGGACAGCATTGTGGCTCCAGCAGCTCGCTGGCAGCAGCTAGCTGTCTTTCTCTCAGATGGTCGTCGGCGTGTTGGATATGGCTATCCCTAAGCCCTATGTGCCAAGTGATGTCAAAGGAGCGATCGAAGCGAGACGGTAAGCATTATCCACTGATTATGGTTCCTTCTCATGCGAGGCGGGGCTCTTACGTCCGGCTGAACTTACCTTATGTAGGCCGAGTGGGTGCAAGAACCCGGGTGGGGCCATCGGCGGGATCTACAAGGTAAGCTTGATAGAATCCTTCGACTTGAAGTTGTTGCCATTCGGACTTTCAGTTGGTGGTCGCTCAGAAATGGAAGAATGAAGGGGTCGAGGCTAAAGTTCTCTCGGAGGCCTTAAAGGACGTGAGTCTGCCACGACACGCTTCGTCGAACTGTTCGACTCGTATAGTGCGGTTATCTATTCGCATAGAGATGCATATCGAGACTTCCGTTTTGAAGATGGCTTCAATATATGTTCTCTTTCAGGTCCGTAGACTTCAGCCGAACTGGGATGTCATCTACATCTGGGTGCTCCGTGCGAACAATGATCGAATCGCCCTATATGAAAAATCGAGGTTTATTAAAATATTGGGTGAGTTTCCTTGTTCAACTCGAAACATGTCACGGTGTGTCTAAACTCCCGGCATCGCGCTGACTAGTCAAATATCTCTGTTCTCAGACAAACGTCAAGACTCCCTTGTAGCCTACGCCCGCTACAACACTTGAAAGCCTGCCTGGTTGTCCCAGACTTGTTATTCTCTTTCGTTCGTCCTTCAACGCTCCATGATATTATTTTCTGTCATTCTCTCCAGAGGATTTATGATCCCCGGTGAATCGCCAGCGGCGATCTGCTATTCTGCCAATTCTAAGTCTCACAGTCATAGACAAGTGATGATTACAGCGTCCCGCTCCTGGCTTTTGGGGAGGCCTCTGTGCTGAGGCTGCTCTCGCGTGCGTGCGACTGCTTTGGTGACCAAAGCGACCAACGTCTGGTCGTCGACGACGACGACTCGTCGTCTCCCGAATACAATTGATCAGGCTATGTGTTTGCGTGCTCCATTGCTCATTGCTAGTGCTTTGGAAGCCTCACGAATTGCCCATTATTCTTTCCAGTCTAACTTATGATATCGGTATCAGATATTATCACCCTCATTTACTAATGAATGACTCCGAACCCTCAAATGATCCTGAGTTGTCACTGGGAAGAACCATACTTGAGCCTCAAGACGCTACATCATGTATCCTGAACATTTCAAATATATTATCTGGGTTCTTCTGAAAATCAATGAGCTCTATTCAGTTTGTAGTGAGCGGTATAGATGATACCAATAAACTACAAATATCATACATGACTCATCATGTATGATCGGATGTATAATGAGTCATCATGACCCATGATTGGGTGGTAAACTCTGGTTGAGTTTAGGAAAATTCCCCAAAGCATATATGCGCCACATCGATGACTCACCACTTGAATCAAGTGGTGAGTCCATCGATGTCCATCGAGTCACTCGATGGGCTCGAATGCCGTTGTTTGAAGGCTCAATGCCACTGTGGCCCACAGTCTGTGGGAGCACTAGATGCTGCTGTGAGAGGGCTCATTGCCACCGTAGCCCACAGTCTGACAGACTGAGTCTGTGGGAGCACTAGATGCTGCTGTGAGAGGGCTCATTGCCACCGTAGCCCACGTCTGTGAGAGCACTAGATGCTGCTGTGAGAGGCCTGGATGCCGCAGTAGGAAACCTGGATGCCATTTTCTTTTAATGCATTTTCACATCTCAGGAGAGTTCACAAAACTGCATGGGAGCACCCTTGAGGCGGATGATCAGCTGCTAATTGGAACCCGAGCTTCGTATCAGAACTTCTGTCTCAGAAGTTTAGTCATGGGCAACTTACCCCGAGCAAACACGGAATATGGTTAAGTGTGCAATAATTTCTGTATTCCCATGCATCTAACACAACTCGCTAGTGATTGAAACGAGTAGCAACTTCGACGAAGCTCGTACTGCGAGTGTTCATACGGGTGAGTAGCATAGATCGAAAGGAGTATCAGTTTTGGTGCGCTTGGATCTACATGTCTCCCTTTGGGATCCATCGGCAATCCTGCGAGATGCCGTGTTGCTATGTGTAGCTGTTCATCGCCAACGGTGACGAACAGTTAAAAACTGTCACAATTCTGAATACATCTGGGTGAGACGAAAATCAACCCATGCAATGCAGAACAATACAAAGGTGATGAGCTCAACTCCAGTGCTGTGAGCGCCTGGATCATCGCTGTTTGATCATTGAAAACCAAGATGTAACACAACGGTCCCTATTGCTAATCTCAGCTTGCTCTAATGAGAGGGCTGTGATACTGACGATGATACTGATAGCTGTGATACGGATAGCTGTGATACGGATAGTCGAACAGCAAATACCACCTGCATCACACATGATTGGCCACGATACGGTGTGCTCAGTTAGTCGGTCAGAGCGGCCCGGTCCCCAACCAGGGCGCAATGCCAGCCGGACTTACTCCCAAAGAGGGTGGCGCTGAGTGCTTTGATGTGAATGGTTCATTCGAGCTGTTAAGAAAAGTATAATGCCGCTCGCGGACTGCACGAAAGATTGATGATCTCCGATTGGAGGTTAGATAGTGAGCCGTGTAAATCGCGTGGATTGCCGTCTTATTTTTTTTCCTCGTTGGCTCTGTAGGTTAGCCTAGTGAGCTAGCACTTTCAGCGCTTCAGAACAAGTCAGAACATATTTGAGATCCGTATACACCAACTGAGTTACATGAAACGCCATCATTCGAGATCACCATACATGTAGAAAAACGAGATGGTCCTGAAGTTGAAACTCAGGGACATTCTCTGGCTCGACGCTCAGGCTTTGCGCATAGCTTTCGTCAAAACAAGCCATGTTAGTTATGATTGTACCTTCTTCCGACTAAGTGGTACAAAGATTGTTTCCCTAGCCTTTCTATGTTAAGCCGGATGATTCGTTCTAGGGATCTCGACGGTTTCGATACGATGAAACCGGAGCTTGTCGAAGACCTCAGCCGTATCAAAAGTGGGTTGTTGTAAACGGCGTCCTACTGTATAACGATGGGCTACTCCGATCGATTTAGGGCGAGCGAGATCTCATCTATCGCATATCTTGTTTGCACGCATGCACCACGTTGCTCTCACAACGGTATCCCGAAATTTCTGTTGAAAAAATGTGCCGAATTAGGATCTCAGGCTGATGGTGGGTTTATGATCCAATGAATGCTGCGTAGTTCTAACGAATCCTTTCTTTGACAGGATTTGTTTGAAGGGCAAATTTAGAAAACACGCGCATGGTGATGATATGAGCCTAACGACGACATCTCGCAATATCCTTCCGTGTGCGCTGAACTGGCTCAGACTGACTTGAGATTCGGAGAGGTGTCTCTGAGCTTCGTAACATGAGTAGAACCAGCTTATGGGAAGCTTGGCTGATAGAAATTATCTAGGATAGACGCCAGCTAATATTGTATCCACTATCACATAATTGTGTCGGCGGAGCGAAGCGGAGGGATGAGTATCGTCACAGAGGATATATACAGTGCGTGCCAATTTGATATGCAAATGGGCGAGCGGGAGTTTGAGATCATAATGGATAATTTTTCTCTATTCTCATAGCTTCAAACGACTACGTTTTTCACAGTATGTGTTTGTAGCAATGTTTGCATTGTATATGCGAAGTATCAGAGCGATTATCGTCAATTTCACGAAAAACCGCGCATTTATCGCATTTGAATATCAAGTTGGCACGCACTGTGTGTAGGGGATTCAACGTAGAAGTTGGATGGAAATCGTGGCTATTTGGAAATAACTTCTCTCAGAGTTTGTTAATGTCGTTCCTAATGTGATGACATTTACATCACAAACTCATGTGAAAAAATGAAGATGAGTTCCTCCTGGGGATTGATGATGACGTGAGATGATGGCAGGAATTTTAAGGATTTTTCCCCCATGCCCGACTCGCATGAGCAGCTCTTCGAGAGTTCTCGTGGCGCGCGAGAAATATCAAGTCAGATGCACAGTTCGTCTGTCAATAGTAGAAGTGCATTATTGCTGCGGGAAAATGAGAAAGATAAATCGGATCGCTCCGCTAGAGCACTTCCTGAACCATGGGAGTACTATCGCGAAGAGTGGCCGAGGGAAACGCTGCTCGAAAAAATGTTTCCGAGATTCGTACCGGCGGGTGTTGAGAAAGAGTATAATATTTTCAAACACGACCATCGGGGCTTTCTGGACTCCTTACGGACGGCGACTATGGTAATACTAAGAGTGGGTAGTTTTAGCACAGAACTTTGCGGAAAATTATTTTCGAAATGGAGAAAATTTTGGCTTGAAATTCGGTGTAAGCTTGGAAAAATGAATTATTCACAGAATTGATGGGAAAAAATTTGATTTGTGCTTAGAATACAAATAAAATATTTTTCCACAAAAACATATTTTTCTGTATCTGATTTTCTGATTTTTTCTCATATCTGGATTTTTCGAGACAAATACAGTATTTGTGTCGATGAAACCAATTTTTTGTGTTTTTCGCCTGAAAATTCCATCTCATCGTCACAATAATCCCGCCTCATTGGCAAGCGAAGCGAAGCGTTTTTTCTTTCGCTTTTTCAGATGCGTCTGGTGGCACTGATAGCCTTGTTCTTTTTCCGATACATCTCATTGATGGACTCGCGTGATCAAGCAGTGTCGAGATTTTGGCCGGGAGTTGCTGGTCAATTTTTTATATTGAATTTACTCATTAGTTTAGTTTATCTCGGCGTTGCTCATTGGACATTACGCGCGTGTGTGTGTTTCCAAAAATTCGTCGAAATTGGCGCTGTTATTTTCATCATGCATCACGTTTTTTATACACTATTGGATTCCGAGCGAGCGGCGATTCTGATAGAATTTTTCACTGGATGGAAAGATGATGCGGATCACCGTGGACCAGCAATATACGATGAGGGAGTTGCGGTATTGATGGCGATGTTCGGTCTGACCTCGGCGAGTTTATGCGGACATCTGAGTGTCTTGAAAGTCTTCAGTCTACTGTGCTACACAATTCTGTTGTATTTTCTGTATCTCATTTTCTTACGGGAAGATCCATTCCAAGGGTGGTGGGAGTATATCCTTTTGCATCTCTCCACACTAGCGTTGATATCTCTAGTTATTTTCTTGGCATTGCGGAGATGCGATATCGGTTGGCGACATAGATTCATCCAAGGTCGAACGGTTCGCTCGGAGTTGGCGCACCATCGTAAAGTGAAGCCTTTTTATAGCGCACAGCGAAGATTATTGGCCGCAGTGTTTGATACGGTGTTTGTGGTTGGAGGAGAATCTTTTGAGATTATTGATAATGATAATAAAAAAGTAGATGAGTTTTTTGGAGGACAAATGAATATGCTAGGGATGAATCTTCTGTCGTTGTTGGGAGCAGACGAGGCTGATGAGGAGTCTTGGGGAAGGAGTTTGCCGAATCGGCGAGAGAGCGAATATGAAAGATTTCATAACTATATGAGATTGCTGGGCAGCGAAGGGAATAATTGGTAATACGCGGAGTAGGGGGAGTGGACTACGTGTGTTGAAGAAATTACAGAAAATTTTGATTAGGAAATTATAAGAATTAAATGATGTTTGAATTCTCATAGTTTCGCAGTGTTGGTAAATATGGACATGGTCAGCTACATTTGACAATGTGGGAATTCCGAGTGAGGGAAGTCTCAGTGGTTTTCCTATACAGTGTACAATACTTCTATCTGAATTCTCACCAATTTTGTATCACATGGATGTTATAACACTTTTTTTGGATTTTCTTGTATTTTTTATGAATTCACGTTATGGAATCAAACTGGATCTTCTTCTTTTTCCGAGAAATAGCGTTGATTTTCGACTTGCCAACTTCGTTGTTGTTTGTCAGTGCGGAGCCGGCGAAATTGATCAATCTACGGTTTTGCTACACCACGGAGTCGTCGCAACGACGGTGTTTGGATGTCGAAATGTTCGGAGTGAAATTTGATGCACCTCCCGAGAGCGTTTCTGGGATGGCTGATTTTGATGGGATGCCTTCAGAAGAGGAAAAGTCGCTGTCTACAGAACGGTACATTCTGGCGCTGAGAAAAGCGAATTTTTCGAGCGGGGTAATTTCCACCGCTGAAGATTCGCTGTTGGGAGATGCAGAAGCTGATTGGATTGATACGGCGATATGCTGTCGGTTGAAGGATCGGGTTGAGGAGCTCAAAGGGCTTATAAAAGAGCTGGAGAGTCGAGGTGAAGGGGACGAAATCGATTACAAGGGCGCGCGCGGTTTGCATAATGAGCGTGGTGCGAGTATGGAGGCGTCTATGAGGCCGCGAGTGGTGGAGGAAGCGTTGAAAGATGTTGAGATGATTTCGAGCAAACAGGTGGCGAGAATTGTATCCCCACGGTTGCCTACTAATGAGAAGCGTGTGACGGTGTTGAGGTGCGTTGAGGAAATGCAAGTGAGTCAAGATTGCAAGATGTTACTTGGGCTGGCTGGACAGGTGGAGGAAAGAGGGAATGGTTTGAATATGCGTAGGAAGGCGAAACAGAGTGTGGAGATAGTTGGGTGTAGCGTCACTGCGCCACGAAATTAGGCGGAGCGAAGCTGTTGTTATTGTTGGTGTATATGTTATATAAATTTGATTAGTATTAACTTGTTTTATGCATCTGAGTATGTTAGGTATCTGAAGTTAGTATCGTCATCATCGCCAAAAGTATCTTTGAAAATCTTGCGTGTGCGCAGCGTCGAACAAGCCAATTTTCGTGATCTACTTTCTTGTTGTGTATGTGATTGGGGGGATTGCGTTTTCTTGAAATTTCGGATGTTTTTTTCGGAAAATTTCGCTTCCATTTTCCTGTTAGACGAAATCTTCCGCGTGCGTTGAAGGATTCACATATTGTTCTTGAGGGACGTGTGAGCTAAGTAGGAATCAGTATGATCGATGTTTTTTCTGTGGGGGTTTTTTACCAGATTTTTCCCCCTGTTTTATGAGTATCACATCGAATGGCATTTGTGACGAGCCCGAGAGTCACTATGCATGCGGTGAAGGAGCTTCGAGTGCATCTCATGCAGGTACAGGAATCTGTCACTCGCCACGAAATTCCAAGTTTTTGACAATTTCAGGTTCGCTGCGGGCGTGCGTATTCACCTTGGTATTCTCAGCTGTTGGTGTGGGCATTTTGAGCTTGCCTTGGGCCTTTGCAATGCTGGGTAGGAATCATTAGCGTTGAGGAAATGCAAGATTGCAAGATTTAGGATTCTGGTGGGGGATAAGTATCCTCGTTCTGAGTGGCGTCGCATCGTTGGCGTCTATGAAGGTCCTCCTCGACGTTGGTAGAGCCACCGGAATGACGAGCTATCAAGACTGTGTTAAGCTGTATATGGGTATGAAATCGATCATCTGGGCGCGCGCTTTTTACAGGGCCTGTTGCTTTCAGGATCTGCTAGTTGCCGCGTGGTTGAAAGTGTATTGTTTTTGGACTGTTTTGGGGCGACTGCGGCTTTCATGAACTTCATGTTCGATTTTGTAAGAGGGAAAATTATCGGAAAAATTTTTGCCTATTTCGTGAGGAAGTTTCTGAGGATGAATTTGAATTACGTTTTTCGGCTTTGTAATTTTCAGGGAAGTTGTTTTTTCAGATACATAGTTTCATAGGAATTTTCACGACGACAGCTTGGTACGACAACAAGGCGTTTGTTATAGCAGTTTTGACGCTGATGGTGAGGTCCCGGGTTCGATCCCTGGTACAGGCATTTTGTAGTTTATATTCCCCCTCTGTTTACCCCAATCCGTTACTCGATGGAAGCTACTCACGTTGTTGTGCACTCTGCCGATATTCTATGTGGTGAGTAGGGAAGGATGGTCATGTTGGTGACGATATGAAATTTATGAGAAAAATTTTAGAAATTTTATTCGTTTTTGTATACTTATAAAATGTGGAGAAATTTTTGAATTCAGCTTGGAGGGCGATCGTACATTCCAACACTGTTTACAGTGATAGTAAAAGTAACTAAGATCGATGGCGTGTTTCTTCACTGTGAGTAGTGAAGGAGTTGTTGTTGAGTATGTTTTTTTTCAGATATTGATGTTGTTGGTGTCGACATTTTTGCCATTGGATAGGGGTAAGTTCTGTAAACCAGAAGCTAGGAATTTGGGCAGTACCAAAAGCATATAATTTCTTCCCACTTTTTTCATAAAAAGGAATTTCATTTTTACAATTTCATTTTTCTTCTTTGCACAGCAAGTGCAGCTAAGTGAAATACCCACGAATGACTATTTAAAACGGTAGGAATTGTAGCATCTAATCGTACTGCCCACTCGTGATCGTTATGCTCAACCACATCACCCAGGGGAAGGTACAATGCACATTTCCGACATCGTATGTCGATAAAATTGTATATTTATTCCCATATGGAAAATGGGATATCGATTAATTCATCTTTATATGCATCAACGTGATAGATTACACATGCTTTCAGAATATCCATATTCCTCTTGTTCGATCCCATGGTGGACTTTCATCGGTTTTGCGTGAATTCGCGTAATACTCCGTGAAAAACCCGATATTCGCGCTGTGTAGTGATTTGTGAAATATGTTTTTCTGAAAGAAAATTATGAAAAACTTGTTCAGCGTCGTCCATTTGTCAGAATCGTCGAATTGTCCATCACCTCAATCGGCGTCTCCCTTTTCGTGGACCGGCGTTGCTAACTCCTGCAGCATATTCTTCTTTGCATTCATGTGCCACATGAATGTGAGAATTCAGTGAGGGGTTCGCAGAGAAAATATGGGAAAAAATTCCGAATTTTTTTTTGAATTTTCTGTGATGAGTTTTATCGATACGCCTTGGGAGAAGCATTTTCTTTCCTGATATTGAAGTTCTGTTGAGGTAAAAGTTTGTACATTTTCGTAATAATTTTCAGAAATATGATATTTTTCTTTCTTATTGAGTAAGTTCACACGAGATTCCTCTTCAGGTTTTCCCGGTGAATTCAGAGTTGCCGAATCCTACTGTGAAACGGTCGAATGATATGATCCTTTTGGCCACCCTCTGTATGCTGTTCGCCTATGGAGCTGTTGGCACGTTGGGGTGAGCTTGGCGATTTTACTCAGCTGTATTTAGTAGAAGCCTTCTCCTAGAAGGATTTTGAGTTGAAATTTCGACGGGGGGTAGAATAGGAGTGTACTTTATTCTTTTCGATGAGTTTTGGTAAGTAAAGTTGAGATCGAATTTCGATTAAGAACGGTCTGTGGGGAAGCTATGAACTAATGATAGTGTAGTTCGTGAATGTTTCAATTCGAACGGTAGTTCTCGATGGCGTTGTTGCTGATGTATGCGAACGCGTGGTTGTGGGAAAAATATCAAATTTCATAAATGTGTGAATCGCAGGGGGAGTTGATTTATTTTGCAGATATTATTTGTGGGGTGAAGGGCTGCTCATCGCGAAGGACGGAGCTGATGTGAGTATTGAGAGTTGGCTGAGTGCATGCTGGCGAGGGGGGGGGGGTCATTGATTTTATTTGAAAGTATAGAGTACTCCAAATGAATTTGAGATACTATCAGAATCATAATCGCGGTTTTTCAATCTAATTTTTAAACATATAAAGCCTCGCAATGTTCACTGAGATATGCTGAACGGCAATTTCATATACAAATGTCCATTGTTTTACGAGGACAAATTGTAGTGAACGAGTTGTCGCTATCATCACAGTCCCAAACGGGGGTACTCTTATCGCAACACATGTTCATAGCCACTGTTGCATTGTAAATGCGATTTAGCTTCAGAGCGATTCTGATCACCGTCAGAAAACAATGCACACTTGCATATCAAATTGGCACGCACTGCATATAATTTGAAATCTCTCGAGTTGACTTTAGGGTTGATTCATCAGAGATTCTTCAGGTACTATCGTGTTGGCCGTCAACCTCAATTCTGGCTACCATAGCGAGAGTAGCGATGACGCCAATGCTGATAATGTGTGAGTTGAGGAGCCAATGCAAGAGAGCAAGTTATCGTGATGGTATGACTAGGTTCGGTGCTGTGTTTGAACCCTGCCCGGGAGAATATCTTGAGGCTGATGTTGGCAGCTGTACCATCGATGGACGTGAGAGCTTATGAGTTTTGGGTAGGGGTATACTTCTCGTCAGGTTACTACGTGTGATCGGTCGGAGCCACTTCTCGACGGTGATGGGATGTATACCACATCGTCGTCGGCCTTGGGGACGGCGGCATCTCGTGTGTCAAGCATCGTGTGTGAGTTTGGTCATTTCCATGACGAGTTTTCATCAGTAGTCGATTTTTCAGATACAACAACAACGTTTCTGCTGTGCATAATTTGTGCATTATGTGCCATAGCGGTAAGATGGAGGGATCGAACGCGGGACCTCTTGCATAAGAGGTTAGAGTCTTAACGGTTAGACGCTTTGTGTTGTAGGTTCCGTCGTTGGTGGATTTACTCGGCGTTTTGGGAGGCTTTTGCGCGGTGATGTTGATCTTCGTTTTTCCTGCCAGCGTACTTTACCTGCATGAAGGACTAACTTTACGTAGTGGAACTATCACTGTGGTAAGATGTCACTCACTTGCAATCTTGCATTTTCTCAACGCTGTGTCTCAGGTCTTCGTTCTCTTCACAGTGATAGGCTTGTATAGTGCGGTTATGTCGTTGATCCAGTTCTTCAAACGAGATTAACCTGCGTCATTTCTGCTTCAACTTTCACAGGGTTTTGCTTTGTGTTGACGTTTTTACTTGGGTTAAAACAGCTGCCGGCTTCAGAGCTGGTGAAGCGAGAGAAGCCATAGCAGAAAGACTGAGAATGAATGCAGAAAGACTGAGAATGAATTATAGATGGGCAGCGTAACGTTTTTCTACGGTTTACGTTATGGTGTGTGTGATGTAAGCAGCTTACGGTTACGGAAAGGCCTTACGACTTTACATGAAACAAAACGAGCGAATGGTCTGTGTTGTGGTTGGGAGGTGTTGGATCGATTAATATCCAGTTACCATTTAGTTAATGGGGACTTTCTTGAACCCACCCACCCACTGTGGGTGACCCACATCCGGTTTAAGACTTAAACTTTAAGTTGGTTTGGGAGGCATGAGTAGTCATAAGCGAGGGTCATAAGCCAGAGGCTCTGGCCCAGAGAGCACCGAGTTGACTCTCTGTGGCAGATGAGAGTATCCCATAACCTCGCTGCTACTTATGCGGAGCGAAGCATCCAGCGTTGCAGGTTTCGGAGAGTTTTTCGACAGAACTTCGAGGTTGAGACTTTCGGATCTCACAAGTTCTTTAGCAACGTATCATGCTTTCGCCCCACTACCCACTACTCCCAACTAACTAAATGAATGTATGTATGTTATTGGACAACAGACATTCAACAATAGTATGGTAGAGTGTTCAGGGTAAACCAGCGAGCGAGTAAAGTTGAAGTTGGTGCTGACCTGCCATTTTGGGATTGTGGCGGAACCATTGGCTGTAATGCACTCCACCATAGCTCAAATAGTTGCTAAACTCATTTCTGGTGGCTCGGAATCCGAGCCTCGGATTCAACCGAACCGCTGGGAGCAGGGTTATGCATCTCAGTGAAATCTGACTCGTGAAATTTCATGTCGAAATATTTCACGAAATTTCATGAAATTTCGCGAAATGTGAAATTAATATTTTTTAGCGCGCGCTATCGCGCGCGCGATCTCTGGCGTGGCTAGTTCGACGAGCGCATTCCTGAGGTATATAATGCAATCTCAGGCGACTGCAGTCACTATTCATAGAACGTGTGTCTGATAGGCTGCTCGCCCTACCATCATCGCGATTCGGACACTCAGCATTGCTGAGTCAGCAAATGAAACCACACTTGAAACGGCTTCGCAAGTTCGCAAGAGCTTCAATTACATCAGATACGGAAGATACCTCCGTCTTTCCGCTCGAGCATACGTCACTGCATATACTTTTGCAAGATCCTGTTTTAGCGCAACTTGCCCCACTTACTAATGATGGGTCTTCGATTGAGCCACTTTCTGCTACGGAGCAGGTCTCCGATTGATCAACAACCACCTAACTCATGACGCTATCAATACTACCATTTTTCGGTGCGGGATCGACTTCACTAATCACACTCATGTCATCGTCATCGGTCTGGTCAACTCGGCTTGCTCCTGCGCGGCCCCTCGAAATAAATTTGCCCATCGATCTAATTGCAGAAACATTTATCCATGTATGTATTACTAGGTGTCGCCGATCTAGGACCTAGACCGGCGACACCTAGACTCTAGGTGTATTCGTTATGTGTAAC